GAGTGTGAAATGTTGCCATGCAAACAGGTTTTTCTGTAATCATCCCAAGTTTTGGTCCAAAATGTCCTACGCTGGAGCGGATGTGATGTGTTACCTTGCCCCCAACCACGCACCCACACTAACACGTTTCCACGTTGCCAAACCCATCACTGGCTTTTCTTTTTTCTGATGATTCTTCTGAGAGCTAGCCTAGCGCCCAGCACAGTATTTCTCCATAAATATTTACTGATGTTCACTGACTTCTCCCATATGGTGCTAAGTTGTTTCCTGGTCAGGAAAATCGGTGTGTGGAGTGGAAAGCAATTCGTGTCTGCAGCCTCCTTGGGGGAGAATGGGCTAGGTAGGAAGACAGAGTTTTGTGGGCTCTGAATCGTCTGTAAGGTGGCATAGTAAACGTTAGCTCAATAGGAAAGGCGTGGGTTCGGTCCTCGGGATCTTCTCTGAGAATCTCTCGGGCGTCCAAGGGCGGCCAGAGGCCCAGGGGAGGCGCTGGGCCTTCGGCTCCTTTAAGAGGCGTGGCCTGCTGTGCACCGCCCCGGGGCGTGATTGGCTGAGGCTGCTATCCGGAGGCAGGACTCCGTTGCTTGGGAACAGCGCGGGGGCCTGGGGGGGCGGGATCTGCGGCGGCCGCGCGGAGGGGCGAAGTGCCTGCTGGGGCCGGGGCTGCGCGTCCGCGGTGGGGGCGGCGGTGAGGGCCGTGCAGGCCGTGCAGCTCTCCGCCCGTCGGCGCCGCCGCCGCTGCCGCCTCGCTGGGTGAGCGCGTCCCGCGCGCCGCGGCATCATGGGCCAGTGCGGCATCACCTCCTCCAAGACGGTGCTGGTGTTTCTCAACCTCATCTTCTGGGTGAGCGGGGCCGGCGGGGCGCCCGGGAGAGGCCTGGGCCGAGGCGCTTGTGGGGCCCGGCGCTTCGGGGGGGGGCGGCGGCGGCGGCGCGGGGCGGCCCCTCGCGGGCCAGGGGGAAGGCCGCGGCCTTGCAGGGGCGCTGCGGGGGCGGCCGGGGGGTCTCCGCGCTCGGCCTGGCGCCCCGACCGGCTGGCCCGGCGCCAGGGGCCCGGCGCGGAGAGGCCGGGCGGGTCTCCGCGGCCCCCGCCCCGGAGCGGCCTGCCGGCCGG